TCCGTTTAAGGAAATTACTCAGCCGTCTAATCCCCAAATTAGGTATCTCGCGTAGGGTATACGTAGGCTCAGCTCATAAACAACTCAAAACTTACTCGCTGCTGCTCCTCCTACTCTTGGCGACCAACTTCTTCTTTCGGCGTTTAATTATACTTAATAGGGGAGCGGGTTATTCGTCCCAAAGCCGTGTCGCCATTCTTCGTTGTTTTAATTGAATAGACTTTCGTAAGGCCACATAACTAAGATCTATGAACATTTTCAACGACAAGCTTTTCAATTATTTTTACTGCTTATCTAACTACTGCAAAAGTATCCGATGGCGTTTGAGTGGACGCAAGTAAAAGAAATCACGCCCGCGTATCTGTGTCAGCATGGAACCCATTCGTTTACAATTATTATAGTTTCAAGCCATAGTAAGAACTGCCACGCCATAGTATCCATCACTCGAATGCGCTTTGCATTCCTAAAACAAACAGTTACTATCAACTTGTACACTTTAGATGCTACCAATGCATTGTGCCCTATCTCTTGTTGGGGCCAGCATTCGAGCTTTTTTCTATAATTTTATTTTTTTTTATCTGTTGTTCTTTATTATATCGACAATGAGCTTTTTTTGGAAGTGCATAGCTATGATTTATCAGTAAACTATTTATATAGAGCAGATGAAAAAATTATCATCTACTTACGTATGTCCGTTGCAAAGCTTTCCTGCACTCCAGTGTTTAATTTTTCTCTCGTCCTGATTTGTGAATCACCGTTACATGAAAATGAAAAGTTGGCGAGCCCAACACATGTATCATCGAACAATAATTTTCATCTCTTGGATTAGATCCAAAGCGGGCAGCTCACAGCACCCGTTTAGCGAGTTAGCGAGCACAGGAGAGGGAAAAAAAAGGAGCCTCCCCCAAAATTTACTTGGCACCGCGTGCTCTTCTCGTGCAATAGATATACGTATACAGACCTTTCGCAAATTAGTTAAATACGCCGAGTACACGAAACTACGTCGTCAAGGAAGACTCTGTGTACCTGGACTTTCTTCCGGCGTATAGTTAGCGACTACGATGGAATCGTCCTGTAGCACTCATAGTGCAGTACATATGGAACTCGTTAGGAAAAGTTAACTGTAGGGGGAAAATTTACCCCAACTCTTTGTCGAGTGTCTTAGACTCGGTGAGACTGAGCTGAAAGAATCTACATTCTCTTATCTCATCTCTGTGTCAAAAACCTACTCTATCTCCTCAAAAAAAGCTATAAACTCATAAATGTGAAACAAAACAATATATCATCACCACCGCCCCCTGTGTACACGAAAAATTCGTCAAACCATGAATTTTAGTGCACATACTCGTCGTTAACGAACAAAAATAACGCCCCGTAAGGCTGCAGTTTAAGCACAGCTTGGTAGTTATCAAGTGTCCTGATTTTCTCCCTCATTCTCGTTGCGTTATATGTAGGCGTGTCGACTTTAGCTACGAAGTAGAACTACTCCAAGTTTTGGGGACTTGGTGGCTCTCATGATTCCATATAAACATGATACTTGGAGTGTTTAGGAAGTATTATTTCACGAAATCTCTAGAATCTACCTATTCAAATGATCTGTAAGGATGAAATTTATCAATGAATATTTGAGATCGAAAGAGTAGATGATAGAGGGGAAAAAAAAACGAGGTAGACCGCAATCTAGAAATGAAAACGATAGACCACATCATTTTTAATAGGTGCGCTATACAGCGTTTATCGATTGTTATTTTTCTCCTCCTCCTACCGTCCCACAAATTATTCCCAGTCTCTGTCCCTGCACGCGTGGTCTCAGCTTACGAACTTCCTGAGTCGTTTGTCACGAATGTATCTCACTCGTGCATCTTACACACGACGCTCCTCGGAGCTAAAGCAGCGCTGTGCTCTTTTTATTGCCACCTTATATACATACACAGTATTTCGAACAAAGTGTTATGGGCAATTTTATTTTTTTCCTCCTACGTCACGTTCCCCGCATTGGGCCATTTCATTAAACTCCTCTCGCGTCCCCGCCAGGAGGCTTCGTGCACATATTTTTCGACAGATCAGGTCTCCCTTTTTCTCCCTTGCAGCTGGGGTGCACCGAAGTTGATACGAGCGTGAAGCTGAAAAACGTGGGGGAGGGGGGGATACGAGCGAGATTCTTACGCGAAGATACCTAGTTGTGCTTACAAAAGATGCTGTTGTTTCGAAATAGTACGTGGGGAGAGCTCCGATACACATCATATTGTGGCTCGTTGAGTGGGCTTTTGCGATGATTTTATGCTTGGCAGGTCGAGGGTTGCGAGTGAGAAGGAGCTATAGGTTTCGTATGTGGACGAGAATATGCATGTTTAGAGATATTTTAGTTTTTTCAAACTTTTCAGTAGCCAGTACGCGGTTTTATCAAAAATTACAGAGCTGCCATAAAATTAAACAGAAAAAACGGAGTTGGAGTCATCTTCCTGGCTACGAAACTGAATTGGCACCTTTTGAATAAAAAATCCGGACCAGATTTTCCCTGCCCGGTGCAATCGTGTATATAAATTGCAACTGTAAAGTTTTTATTTAATTAAGAAAAAATTAAAGCTCTTGTATGTTTTCCGCGTCCCGTTCTGCTTACTTGCATATTGCAAATATATATAGTACATAAAAAAATGGTCTTAGAGTTTCTATCAATTAATGACCAAGATTTGTCAAACCTATCGGTCACGATTCACGATGTTCTTCTTCTGCCCACGCCTAAACACGGAAAACAAAACGAAAACAATTATTTCTAATAAATTACTAGACAATGATGGATTTTCCGTACTTTTCAATGAAAATAAAATTATTTGAACATCAATTTATTGAAGTATCCTGAAACGATTTGACACAAAAAATACATTTGATGTACACGAACCAGTGATACCAACGGATGACAAACGGATTTGAAAGTAAATGTCATCCTCTCGTTGTCATTACGTAGTTTGAATTAATTAAGTTATTTTTTTTTTTTTTTTACATTTGCACAAGCGATGATTCTCCTTCAAAAGAGACACACCGACAACTGTGATTTCGCAAAACAATTATTTCGCATCGTCAAGCGCATGTACAAATATCTATTTTATAGCAATTTACGATGCGAATTTCGAAAACACTACGTCGAACCGAGAAATCGTTGGTCGAACAAAAAGTGACCGGTGACTCTTTAATGACATTAACCATCGTCGTTATAACTATGAGTACGTATACACATATATATAAGTACGCTTGATGTATACGCACCCAGGAATGTAGACACGTCCATCGAGGACGACGAGGAGGGCATAACATACCATATACCATACATCTTGCAGGAAGTCTGCGCGTTACAACAAAAGGCTGTAGCACGGCCTTCTGTTTGACAATACGTGTATATAATATATACTCTCTCATACTTAAGCGCTTATTGAGATACGTAACGTAAGAGGAGAAAATGAGTCTAGCACCGGATCGCATCAATCCTTGTTGTCGCTCTTATCTCTCTCTCTTTCTTTTTTACTTGCCAGAGAGCTTGAAGTGTTTTTGCTCACTTATTATTCGATGCTGATGTATATATGTATCTGGTGCAACAAATGTTCGTTTCGCGGGACGAGAGAGCGATGCAGCATCATCACCGCGGTTATTGACGTTAATGAGATAAGGGCTTTTTTCACGGATACTGTACGGATGAAAGTTGCATTAGTCGTGTGTGGGTGCACGTTGTAAATCTTTGTGCGTATTTTTTTTTATACTTGTAGCGTGCTTGGAGTCATACGGACAACTTGTTAATTTTTTATACCGAGCATATCTTTTTTTTTACGATTACGCGAAGATCTCACTGATTTTATAAAATAATTGAAAAAAGTTCAGTGGTACATGGATGTAGTAATTTTTAGAAATATGCTTATTTGAGACTCGAGCTGTGGGAAAAACATGGGTGTCTTTTGTACGATTACGAATGTATGGATAGATGGATAGTAATAGAACAGAAAAGAGCAGCAATGTTGATTGAAAGCAATAGAAACTAATTTTTTAATTATGAGACTCTTACTTAATTTCATTTTATTTCGGCAACTTCAACGAGCCCTGTACTTACCCTGCTTTTTCAAGTTTAATTTTCAAACAAATTTTTACCTTCAATGAGATGATTTATAATGAAACTCCATTCACAATGAGACCTATTCATTTTACCAACCTGACATTTTTTTTTCTTTAGTTCACAACATCTGCATAATTTTTTTAAATCTGAAAAAATTAATGCATAAATTATCACAGTTACACAAATACCACCCTATGGAAGCAGCTCAACCCCAACGGAGAGTTTCCTAGTTCCCACTCAGAGTTTCTCATTTAATTACTCTCAACCTCCCTCTGTTTTTCCCTCATCCCCATCCTCTTTGGCTGTAATTATCACGCGAAACGATTATTCGGTGCTGTTATTGTATCATTTGTCTTGGCGACAATAATCATCCCTCATGAACGAAAATATTTTTTCGCTCTGTTCACTTCGTAGGCGTTTAGCCCTTTTTTATTTTATTAGCACTAACGCATGTATAATTTTATCATACTATATGTGTTACATTTTTTATAAAATAAAATCTTGTTCGGTTTGATTGAACTATCGCTTGAGTGTTAAAGAATCGATTAAATAAAATTCATTCGACAGAACTACTATAGTAGAATAAAAATATCTTGATTGAAGGTCAACTCACATTTGGAGGAGATGATAAAATAGTGAGAAAACAAACAATTGATTAGCATGAATCTTCATGAATGTAAGTGTTTTAAATTAAATAATGTAAGATCAATACATTAAGTAAGATTTCAAAATCATAGTATTATAAATAAAATGAGTACAAAATTTTAAGTTATCATTTTAAAAAATATTAAACAAATCAAAATTCTCATATGTTGCACATTATGCGGGTATTCAAATTTTTTTGAGAGCACACCATTTTGTCTTCTTTTTTTATTATTTCATTCCTCTCTGTTCTGCTATTTTAAATCGTAGTTGTGTTTTGAAGCTTGGACTTGTCTACTGTGAACTGTGTGGCAGTTGCAGCTAGCTTTGTCCTCAAGTAATACATACCTGTTTTTAACCCCTGGAAAAAAAATGCACAAAATTAGTTATTTATTTAATAAGTAATTTTTCGTCGAAAATTACCAGTGGTTTTATCAACATCTTACCGCTTTCCACGCGTAGAAATGCATAGAGGTCAACTTCTTGTACGATGGCTTAGCCATGTGCATATTAATAGATTGGGACTGATCAATGAACGCCCCCCTATCAGCGGCCATCTTTAAAATATTCTTTTGAGAAATTTCCCACACAGTTTTGTACAGCTCCTTAAGGTCAGTAGGTACACGGTCAACCTTCTTAAAATACATTTCCCATTTAAAGATAACATTACTCTATGAACTTATTGTTTTAAAATATCATCGACAACTTACTTGTACAGATCCATTATTAGCAATGATATCGTTTTTCATGTCTGCATCCCAAAGATTTCGCTCTATCAGATCTTTCATCAGATGAGGATTGACGATTTGGAATTCACCGGAGAGCACGCGCCTTGTGTAGATGTTGCTCGTGTATGGATCAACTGATTCGTTATTACCGAGAATTTGGGACATCGATGCCGTTGGCATTAGAGCGACGAGCAACGAGTTGCGAACACCGTGTTGGGCTATTTTAGCTTTCAGATCAGACCAGTTCCAGAGGTCTGTTGGCGTCACGTTCCACATGTCGTGCTGCAAGATCTGCAAGGGAGAAATCCAAATTTTTTCATGACATGTAGCATCAACGTCAAAAGTGAAAAACTGCTTACGCCTTTGCTAACTGGTGACTCGTTGTAAGTGGAGTAAGGCCCCTTTTCTCGAGCCAACTCGCAGCTCGCCTCCAGAGCTCCGTAATACAGAGTTTCAAAGATTTGAATGTTGAGCTTTTGAGCCTCTTTGCTCTCGAACGGGTAACGCATCAGTAAGAATGCATCCGCCAACCCTTGAACACCGATACCTGCAAACAAACAATTTTCCAATCGTTTCATTCGATCAACAGCTACTCACCCGAATCCAATTATTACCGATCGCTCTGTGCCTAAAGTTAGATGTCTTGGCCTCTTCAACGGAATAGTAGTTGAGGTCTATAATTTTATCTAAATTCTTTATGATAACTTTGGCCATTTCCTTCAATTTATTGAAATTATACAATTTTTTGTCCGCTGCAACAAACATATTAACGGCGATGGATGCTAAATTGCACACTGCCACTTCATCCGGTGAGGAGTATTGTACGATCTCAGTACACAAGTTGCTGCTCTTGATGGTGCCCAGATTCTGCTGATTTGACTTTCGATTGCAGTGGTCCTTGTAAAGCATGTACGGCATTCCAGTTTCCACCTGAGAATTCAGGATCGCCGTCCACAGCTTCCTGGCGTCGATTTGCTTCTTGAATTTGCCGTCACTCTCGTACTTTTCGTACAATCGGTCGAAATCGTTTCCCCAGACATCATGCAATCCGGGACACTGTTGCGGGCACATGAGGCTCCACTTGCCGTTGTCCAAAACCCTCTTCATGAACAAATCTGGGATCCAAAGAGCATAAAATAATTCCCTTGCTCGGAGCTCCTCTATACCTTTTGGAGCACGACAAAATTTTCAATTTAAGCACGACAAATAAATTAAATAATATATAGTATTTATAAAATCATACCGATATTTTTTCTCATGTCGAGAAACTGGAAAATATCGGCGTGCCACGGCTCCAAGTAGATGGCGAACGCACCTGATCGCTTGTTTTCACCTTGATCGGTGAAACAGGCTGTGCTATTGAAAATTCTCAGCATGGGAGCTAACCCATTTGACGTACCGTTAGTGCCGCAAATTCTTGTGCCCGAGGAACGAATGTTGTGCACACTTAGGCCGATTTCTCCTGATGATTTGCTGATTACGGCACATCTTTTCAACGTATCGAAAATTCCTTCGATACTGTCGTCCGTCATCGTGAGTAGAAAACAACTGGAAGTTTGAAAGTTTTTGAGAATAAAACACTGTAATTGTACACGTGAAATACAATTTTACCTGGACATTTGCTGGCGTGGAGTACAGGCAGCAAAGAGCGTCGGGGTTGCGTGTGTAAAGTAACGCTGAGACATGTAATAGTAAGTTTCTATGACCTTATCCAGGTCTTCTTTGTGGATGGCAACAGCAACCCTCATAATCATGTGCTGCGGACGTTCAGCCACCTTGTTATTGATTTTCAACAAGTAACTTCTCTCCAAAGTCTTGAATGCAAAGTAATTGTAACCGAAGTCTCTGTCATAATTGATAGCAGAATTCAGCTTATCTTTGTGTCTTTGAATTATATCATTGTACTCTCGACTTATAACCGGAGTATGCTCCTTGGTAATCGAGTCAACTGCATTGTATAGATCTGCCATTGCATCTGAAAAAAAAAAAAAAAATATTACGTAGAGAAACCCAAAATCCGTTTATTTTGTATTTCATACTAGTGTCACTTGAATGACAAAAATAATTTATATTAACTCAAGAGAATACATACAGATTTTTACGGGCAGTGTCTTTCTATAAATTTTTTTAAATACTAACACATTTTTTCCAATAAAATTTTAAGTGTTATTCATTACTGACATTAACAAACAAAAATATTTACTCCTTAAAAATTTTTTTTCTCTCATTAATGACAGTAATTAGGATTCGACTTTGTATTTTATTAGATTAAAGTATTTATTTTTACCACTAAACATTTTTTTTGTCTCTTTATGTAATTTCGAAACTGCTATTCTTGCAGCTAATGTAGAATAATCTGCATGTTTGGTTGTCATTGTAGCAGCAGTTTCTGCCGCCAAATTGTCAAGCTTTACTGTTGTTACTCCTGGATAGAGGCCCTTGATAACACGGAGGCTGATTGCTGTCTGAAATTGACAATATAATTTGAGTGATACTGAAAAATTCTTTTACTTAAAAAAATTATTTTATCAAAAAGTTTGTATTTTTATAATTTTATGCGTCAAATTTGGTATTACCCACTACTTTTAGTAGAAATAAGTATGAAGTGTGATTCATTATAAATTTTATTAAAAGTAACTTTTTCGCCCTTGGGTGGTTTTGGGAGGCTGGTACTTCCTCGGGCGAAAAAGTAGTTTTCCGGAACTCGTTCGAAAAATCTCTTTTACGAACCTCGTTACGTCCCTCGCCTTCGGCTCGGGCCGCAAAATTCTTGGTTCGCAAACAGAGACTTTTCAAACTCGTAGGAAAACTACCATTAGTATTTATCTTGAAATGTGTATGGTTGGTACTTTTACATTAGAAAAAAATTATGGCAACATTTGAAAGACGACGTGCCAGCAGCCGAAAATATTTACAACGTTGCCAGACGCTCTCCCTCCCCTTGCCTCTCTAAGATTTCCCTCCGCTAACACTACCGAACCTTCTTAAAACATTCCTTTGTACGTACGAAAGCGCACATTTAACCTGTACAAAAGTCATGTTTATACACCTATATATAAGCAGCGGCGGGAGGGATTTTTACAGGTTAAATGTGCATTTTCGTACGTTCAAAGAAAAGTTTTAAGCTGCAAGTCTAATTGAGTAGGAAAAAAATAGCTAAGGTATTGAATACAAAAATAAAATTGCACCCACAAGGCACGTGTTATTTTTCTGACTATATATACCGTGAGAGTCACCTTTTGGAATCCCAATGGGTGACTCATGCTTTGTCATCACTTTTGTGTTACATGCAATCGACTACCTCGAGCGTAAATAAAAACCAAAATATTACTTTGTGCAACTTACCGGATCTATGAAATTCAAGTTCAACCCATAGCACAGCTTCCAGATTCTTGACGTAATTTTATCGTAAGAAACTTGTTCTGTGTTTCCATCTAAAAAAGTACATGTATCATTATTAAAAAAGAATCTCTATGATCTGAAAAACATTTTTGGAACTAACAAACTAATTAATAAAAGCTTGCTACTTACTGCGTTTTACAACATACATCTCTGCTTTGTTCACCATCTCATCCAGGTTTGTATAGACAAACAGCTACGAGTACAATCCAAACCTCAAAGTGCTGTAAATAATTTGAATTGCCGTGATGCATTATATTATATCATATTATAGGTTTACAAAATTTCTTCAAGAACAACTATACTTTATTATATATAAAGTAACTAACAACAGAAATAAATATTAGTAAAAGAACTTACACCTCAGTGGTATAAGTATTAAGTAGTTCTTCTGCTTCAACAGTTTATCAGTCGCTTGCACGTCCAACTTTCGACTAAGGCAACTTAATTGTTTCTCGGTCACATATTACATCGTCCAACTAAGCTATCGTCGGGCTGAGAAACACATACTGTGGTTGTGAAACAGAAAACTGTAAAACCTACTGCCGAAATTTAACTATTTTGTTACCAACTTACGTACAAATTATATTCTCTATAAAAAAAAAAAAAAAAAAAAAAAAAAAAAAAAAAAAAAAAAAAAAAAAAAAAAAAAAAAANAACGATGTTATTTTAATTTTTTTGTTATTTAAAAAATGGTGTATACTTATCGAGAAAATGTTCGAATCGCTCTAACTAATGCTGATAAAGAATTGTCTCATAATATAAAGTACTAACACATTTTAACTGTTGTACAAGAGCATATCTTAATATCATTAGATATTTTTACCTTTTTCTTTTTATTTTATCCAATATGATTGGCTAAATTTTTAACAGTTTAATATAAAACTATGCACTTTATCAAACAAAAATCGTAAAGTCTAGCTCACGAATTTAGGACCTTTTTTACTAATTTAAGTACGACCATAATTATTTCTTAACGAAAAAATTTCCATACAATTTTTCGCTTGGCAATAAAAACAAAAATTTTGATAAAAATTTGTATTTTACTTAACTTACTGAAAACATGAGGAGACGTAAGTTAATGAAAAAATAAGTTTTTGTTACGTAATGCGAGTAAAGACACTTTTTTTTAACTCGTAAACTAATTAACCCCTCCTTGGTGCCATTGGCCTAAAATCTGATACAATAAGCTTTTTTCTTGTCCTGCATTCTAGGAAGAAAATATTCTTCATTGACTGCCAGTACCATAAGGGTATGTAGTACCACATGGCCATTGTCATAAAAGCCCACAAAACGTACAGTCTCTCGGCTTTCACGTATACACCTACTCTCAGACAAAGATTTTTCCCAAACATATTTATGTCGTGTTAAATTATGGTTCGATTTTTGTCCATTAGGAAGCTTCTTCGAGAAAGCACAACAGAAAAATTTTCAGCAGTACGTAGTAGCGGCAACATCGACTCAACGAAAATGACACCACGACGCCTTGGCTTGTACAACACGTACACGAGACGCGAGGATCTGCTGCGATACCCAACTCTCTCCTTCCAAGTCTGCTTCCTGCCACCGCAGGCACTGAAGGATAACGTTCGTCGTTGTCGTTGTTGTTGCATTGCGCAACATCATCCTTGCATTCCTCAACTTTTTCTTTCAGTAGCCAACAACAACTCCCTTGTCTTCGCGTTTTAATAAAACAGCTGCTGGTCAGCATCAACGACCATGATGTTGGGGGCCCACAAGAATAGGCTTTTATGTAGGTTCCCACGGTACTTTCAGATATTCATGGGTACACATGGATATTTTATGTGTATCTTTTACGTAAGTAATAGCATGCGTGACTATAGTTACGATTCGTTGCCTATTTACGACGTAAGCCCACTTATTTTCGTAAAAATTATATGATACGAATCGTCCATCAAGTATGAGGGAGTAGAAAGAAGAAAAATTTATCCTAAAATGTTACCTGTGTAATCAACTCCAAGATACGTGTGAATCAAGTTTCCAGATAAAAATTATTTTAGAACAAAGCGTGAAATGAAGCACAAGAGTTGCTTTTTATGTTGATGCCAATGACTTGTAATCGTTTCAGATGATATTTTGCGTTCAGTCAAAATTCATATCCATGTATTGTCGAGTGCAAGAAACGGTGGACAAAAACCGCAACGTTCCCCTGACCTACAAATAAAAAGCTGATCATCCCACCTGTACAATCGCTGCGTAAGACTATGCGACCAATGCGATTTCCTTTGGCGCGTGGTATTATCTCGAAGTCTGCATGTATATATATATATATATATATATATGTCGGTCTCGTCAGAGTTCTCGGATGACTCGAGGAGTGTACTCGTTCGTCCACGACCACGCCACCTTGTATACACCTACATTGGATATCGGATCCGTTGCATCGGCTCGCTGGCTTTAGCTCCCGGATTACGTGCACATGCAGAATTAGCGTCGAAGCCTTGATTGATTCAAGTACCTACTGTACATGTGTAGTGCAATTATCTTGCGGTTATTCAGTCATTCATTCTTGGACCGAAACGTAAAGTCATGACAAGCAAAGGGGGCTGTGCTTAAACGATAGAAACGTTACATCTCGAGCATGGATAGCTCGATGAATATTTTTTTAATTCACAGGTATTACAGGTACATTTGGTTGTAGACGCAGGGTACGAGAAAAAGACAACAACGCATCCATCGAACTCGACCCAACTCCAGCACTACCCTCTCTATCGTATTTTTGACTACCAATTGCGTGCATTGGCGTGCTTCCACGTGCACTTTTTCTCTTCAGTCCCAAATGACACTTAAAAAAAATCGAGTGTTTTTCCAGCCCAGCTTTCTCTCTCCTGCAAATAGATAACCCATGGTGTACGTATACTTGAAACAATCGAACGAGCTGCACGTGTGCCTGTCGTTCGCTCTCTTTCTTTCTCTACTCCCCGTGTTTAAGCACGCGAATCGCGTGTCCGCAAACAACCAACGGGTGTTGCGTCACGTTTGTCTCTGCGTAAGTATGCACAGGTACACGGACTTTCATCGATGAATCAGCTATCATAGGCCTGGCAGATACAAGAGGCGCGAAAGCCATCACGTCGAGTATCTTTTTCTTTGCTCAATTACACATCGGGGTATCAGGAGGATTGCGCTGCGTGTGTTTCACTTTCACCCTCGAAGGAATGGAACAAAAGTACTCAATAATCCTCTCAACGGCATTCTCAGACAATGAGTCATTTCACTTTGCATTTACATGCTTACACAGGTGGATATGTCTTTGATTTTTCCACGGAAATCGAGTGGCACGTGTGTTTTTGTACACAGAGCGCAAGTGCATCATTCACGTGGCTTCTTTGACCACAGACCTTCGCGTGGGTTACTCGACAATTGGTTTCTTCTCATTGGTCGTCGCGAGGGAATCGCATTTAATGAGATCTGCGCGATCTGAAGCCCAGCTTCAAGGTGAAATAGACTGCGGGGGGTGGTTTCGGGCTTTATCGCGCTCTAATGCGTGACGCTTGGATGGATACCGTTGCGCAAACCATGTGTGTCTTGGTAGGTATTGAAAAACATTGTTTTTTCCAAGCCGTATATACACATGTATTACTTGGGTTTGTCTGTAACTAGAAAAATCGGGAGGAATTAAAAGCTGTCTAATAAATTTGACTCGCTGTAGGATAATGATGATTCGAAAAAGGTTGCAAATTTGGAGATCCATGATCAGCTTCAAATTGTTTATTTGTACAGTACAGTGAAACTTTTGCAATTACTGTATATTATCATGACGCTATAGTGATGATTCGCCACTAATGTTCATGTGAATAAACTATTACAGGCTACCAATCCCTATGCTCAGAACAATTTTTCGATCGGACACTGTCTCAGAAGTATATCCATCTACGAGTAAATCATAAACATCCATTCGGTAAAAGCGTGGAAAGACAAAAGCTTGAGAAAAAAGGGGCAAGTGACTGACGTAACTCGATGTAATCCCAGGTAAGAGAGCCCGAGGTATACCTGTATAAAAAAAAAGCTCCAAGAAAAGGGAACGCCTATATAATCCTTAGCAACAAGGAGAGAGGAAAGCTCTGCCATTTTCTCCTCCTCGCTCGCCAGCAAAAACTTAAAGATGATTAAAGGGCCCTTCGCTTTCGCTCTCTACTATTTCACTCTCGGCATTCTCGAATGACTCGCCGATACGCCGCGGCTATTATATCCCGACGACTGTGCGCATTGCCATAGTTTCGCGGTCCGAGGAGAAGAAGAATGGACCTGACGGTTACGCCGCTGATGGTGGGCAGTCGCGTTGCGGCAAAATCGAGAGCCCTATATTTTGCGGCCCATCTTTTTACGCTCGATCCACGAGCTCCTTCTCGCTCCTGGATCTTCATGTCCATAGCAAAGAAGGAGGGAGAATCGATTTTACATTGGAAGAAAATGAGGGTCTCCCGTGCGGTTGCCGCGGCTTTTTTTTCAACTCGTCGTTTCCATCCGTGTAAATATCGTCGTTTCGCAATCGACGTAGATTTTTCCGCTTCATTTCGGAAAAAATTCATCGCAAGATAGGCCCAGACTGATCGTCAAATAAAAATTTTTTCCGCATGTATACCTATAAGTTGAAACGGCGAGCACGACTCTACGTTGGTGCTCGGCTGCGAGGGGCTAAAATGTTCGCAGACCAGATGGAGGAACTCCGTGAAAAGCGTAGATATATATATATATATATCGTNAAATAAATTAAATGGATCAGGCGAATGCAATAAACTGATTTCATCACAGACCAGCTTCAAAAGTACGAACAGTCATTCGGAATCGTATCACAATAAACCAATTTTTTAATGTACGCAAAGCCATTAAATTAACGTTTTATGTGATTGCTTTAATTTTGTTGAAACTGAAATTGACATTCCAAAGATACCGAATGTGCATAAATGGAGTCGACTGAGGCAAAACTTACCATTGCCTCCACTTTTCGTGACCAGTTCAGTAGTGCAATGAAGCAATTGTTTGTACTCGGTCTTGAGAGTAAATGTTCATAAGCTAATAATAAACTGAAAATATAAAAGCTCATCCCAACATATTTCATCAATATGAAAAAAAGGTTCAACATTTCCCGTTCGAAGATAAAAAAAAAAAAGAGAATCCCGGTTGCACAAAATTACTGTGCATGCG